ATAAGCTTGCAAAGTTCCTCAGTTGCGCAGTCTGCAATCAAAAATGAATCAAGATCAGGATATCAAGAGATCAACAGCAAATGCTACGCACAGTATGTAGTGGAAATATTTACATGGTTGTGCCTATTGACAAGCATCCAATAGGGCAACACGGAGGTATCCACAAAGTACTTTAGCATCACAATCACCAGGCTCAGCTCAAAGTTTCGTTCGATGGAGCGCACTGTGCTCCACAGCAGCCCGTGCAGATGTTGCAGCATGGCCACACGCTCCAGCGATAAACGACGCAGTGACCACACTTCAAAGCGTGTCTTGTCCAGCTCCAAGATCAGCCGTAAACTGGCCTCACGCAGCTCCACATAGAAGACCAATATCAGTGCCGCATACAAAGTAAAATTGCTGAGGCGCATCAGCAGCACCAACTCCGAGTAAATGGCGTAGAAAAGCAGAAGCGCCGTATTCGTGACCACGTGATTATAAATGGTCATCAGAAAAAGCATCAGACAACAGATTAGCAATAGACAGTAGATGGTATTGCAATAGCGACACAAGCGGAGCAGGTTTACCTTATGCCCGAACTGGACTCGTAGAACGTACCGCATTCGTTCCAGCTGCTGCTCAATCTCGTCGCTGCGATTTCTCCAGATCAATTCCATTGCGACAGTAAAGTGTGCGACGGTCAACGTGACAAAGTTCAATAGGTCGACGACACGTGAAAATTTATCATTTCGATCGTAAACAACTCCGTAGTTGAAGCTGAATCGCCAACGTATGATAAAGGCCAGATAAATTAATAAGCCAATTGTGTAGAGCAGCTTCAGCTGCACATGTGGGCGTGGCGGCAGAAGCAATATGCATTGCATTAAGCGCCTCATGCAGCGCAGAGAAGCTTCGTGTAATTTTCCAGGTGCATGCCACATGACTGAAGTAGCCCGCGTCTATTCAGGTACATAGAATCACAATCAATGGCTAATTGGCTAATTGGCTAATTGAAAAGACAAGCGTTTTTATCGGCAGACAGGCAATTGCACTTTAAAGTATCCTTCGCCAACAAACATCACTTGTTCGATAAAACAAATATTTACTTTTTATAATTTTCCTTATAAAAAAGTATTCATACCACTCCAAAAACGTACCCTACAAAAATAATTAACAAATTAGATAGAGATTGATATCCATACAAGTAGATGCCCTTGTGTAGACGGGAGTACGGGGTTCTACATGTTATCCAATTTAGAGTTGAATACAGCTCTTCAACCTGTTTCATGTAAGCCAAACTGAAGACCAATTATGCGTTTCTTGAGTGTTCTCAACTACAGATGTTCTCTACCAATTTACGTTTGTTTACTTATTTATTGTAAAATTTCATTTGCGGGTGGATAAAAACCAATTACATAAGAATATTTCATTGTCGTATGTATTTTTATTTTTGCCGTCAAAATGAGCGCAGTTTCAAATAAAATTAAACAAGTTTTAAATTAATTTCCAGAATTCATTGATATTAATTTGACCTCCATGCTTCACCCACCAATTCTTTGATATCGATTTAAGCTCGATCAGATGGTAAGCAAAAAAACATTCATACCACCGTTTTATTTTACCAAATTTGCGGCTGGAATAACCCAAAATCCCATCTTTGTGTGCTTCCACATCAAAGGTATCTATAAAATATTCACCTATGTAGCTCGGTATTCAACCTTTGTAGTTCGTAGTTCGTATTCAACTTTTTGTTACGCCATCCGATCAAGCTCAAACTCATTTTCAAAGATCTAACTGAAAATGCATTTGACAAGCGTTTCGCACTTTTTGAAAATTTCATTGCCTATGTCAGAAATGGGATTCAAAAATTATATGGGCTATAATTCAAGTTGGCAATTCCTTTCCGTATAGTGGAAATCTGTTATCCTACATATCTCAAGCGCCTATTAACTAACTTTTAACTTTCTAAAAAGTTATAAGTGTCATAAAATGTATATATTTGTCAGAATGGGTTTTCAAACTTTCCATGACCTTGACTATTTAATATTATAATTTATTTTTGAAATATATATCTTCTTTTATTTTATACTTTCTTTAAATGAGTTGTTGGGTCCGCGGTTTTTTCATGTCCGCTCTGCTCAACATCTCAAATCCGCCTATCTATAATTCCTTCTTACTAGTAATCAATATGTGTTTTATACTTCTTTCTTATACTATTCTGCATCTATCTTTTGTCATAAAGAAAATGGCAAAATGTTAAAATTCAATTTTTGTATTTGTTCAATAGTTGCAGTCACATTGTGTGATTTTGTTTTAGTAGACTCAAAGCAACGGTCACTTCAGTTTCTCCTTCTAAGACCTTCAAGTTGTATGTAATCCGAAACTGTACGCAAATAAAAATATAGCTCACCACGCCGAACAGGAACTAAAAAAAAATAAAACTTTTATAAGTACCAAATATATTTCAATTACATGTGTATATCTTACCTTGCCTAACATTTCATTGTTGACCTTAACCAAACCGCCAATTCTAAGCTGACAGGTCTCTTGTCCAAGTTGAGCCGAGATTCTTAATAAGGCGGTATTTAGCTGCTCGTTGCGACGATCCACTGATATTCCATGAAAAAGAGATCGAAACTTGCGCTGCAGATGATCGCAACGCGTACAAATCCAGCAGGGAATACAGATCTCTAAAAGTTTTCCACTTTCCTCAGTTGTACACCCTAGAACAGAAATAAGTAAATATAAGAGCTGACGAGATACATTAGATATGTATTTACCTACACAACTGCATTGGAACATTGTCGACATATATTCTGTTCAGATACGCCCAGTATGGAAGAACTGAAATATCTATAAAATATTTCAGCAGCACCATGACGAGACTTCGTTCAAAGTTGCGCTCGATGTCGCGTTGTGTCTTCCAGAGTAGTAGATGCAATTGTTGTAAGGTGGCGATGCGTTGGAGTGGCACACGACGTTGAGACCACATCTTAAAATGTATACTCTCCAGCTCCGAAATTACAGCCGTGACAGCATCAATCAACTCCTGGTAGATGGCCAAGACGAGTCCTGAATACAATGTAAATTCGCTGCATCGCAGTATAAGCACGAGTTCCGAGTAGAAGTTGCCGATGAGCAGGAGGGAAGTGCTACTAGCTAAATTGTTGTAAACTGTCATGCCGAAGATTACCGATACACGCAGAAATAAAAAGCTTAAAATAAGATTGCTGCTAAGCCGAACTCGATGGAGATTAACCTTGCGACCGATTCCCTCGCTAAGGACGTTTTGCATTTGTAGAAACTGCTTCTCAATTTGATCGCTGCGGTTCCTCCAGAGCAACTCCACAGATACAATACAATGGCAAACAATTAATGCCACAAAGTCTATTAAATCGATGATGCGCGAAAAATGATCATGTAGACGATCGTAGCTCACTTTGTAATTAAAGGCAAATCGCCAGCGAAATATCAGAGCGAGATATACGAACGCAAATCCATTGTAAAGCAGCTTCAGATGGAGATGTTGTCGTGGTGGCACAATTAATGCTAAGCGCATTAGGAACTGCATCAAGCGCAGCGCAGAGTCGTGTAGCTTAACTGACACATAACCCATGACTGAGGGGTCATTGCAAAGTGTACGCGCTTTGACTGTGCGATTAAAAATCAATAACTAATTGGCTAATTAAAATGATATGATTATTGTAGCCAGCGTAATTTATAACACGGTCGATTTAATTAATAACTTCGATGTTTATACTCCGACGCTCATTAAATTTTCAGGACTTTAATATAGCAAATTGGATCTATATCAAATTGCAAAGCTATCACACTACAATTCACGTTTTTCTTTACATTATTATGTATATATTTTCCAAATCAATGTATACTATACGAAAAGTAACATGTCAAGTTTGTTAAATCAAAGTCCTTATAATTTTAGAGCTACGCCGTCCTCACTTCGATATTTTTCAATATTATCTAATTCGCAGAAGATATCGAAAAACTAATATAAACTCGTTATGCTTATGATGTACGAGAAAATAAATTTAAAATTTTAAATCAATAGTTTTTGTAGCTTCCGAGGATGCTTCCTTTTCTCAAAGCCAATATACTCCCTTTGCCCTCTTGCAATATTCAGAGAATATTCAAAATGCAGCGCATAACAAATTTTTTTTCCAACTTAAGTCTAACTTTATTCAAGCAGAATTAAGAAACATTTTGTGCCTCGATCTTGAAAATGTTACAAACTTTCCGGTTGTCAAAAAGTGCAGTGCAGCCTCAACCTTTCAGATATGGCCGACGTTGATGTAGATGTGCCCTCCGCAGCGCCAGTTCTTGGCGGCGCCATGGACATAAACACCGCGCTACAGGAAGTGCTGAAGAAGTCGCTGATCGCTGATGGACTCGTCCATGGCATCCACCAGGCCTGCAAGGCTTTGGACAAGCGTCAAGCTGTCCTCTGCATTCTGGCCGAATCCTTTGATGAGCCCAACTACAAGAAACTGATCACAGCATTGTGCAATGAGCACCAGATTCCGCTGATTCGTGTCGATTCGCACAAGAAACTGGGCGAATGGTCCGGTCTGTGCAAGATCGACAAGGAGGGCAAGCCTCGCAAGGTGTGCGGCTGCTCTGTGGTTGTCATTAAGGACTACGGTGAGGAGACGCCCGCATTGGATGTAGTTAAGGACCATCTCAGACAGAACAGCTAAACATGTTTCCGTTGCCGTTCCCCCGTCTGCTGAATGAGAGACTACCTGGCAAGTTTTTTATTGCTAAATAAAGAAAATACCTACAAAATAACCAAATATTATGCTATGTACTGCACGCAGAAGGGAGCGTCCAGTTATTTAAAGAGTGCGTTATTTTATTTATTATTTGGTGAAAATATGTGAGTGTTTAAAAAACAACTTAAGAACATATTAAAGCAGTCGCAACTGTTCTTCACTTTTTGCTCTTATCGCTTCGTCATTTTTAATTTCTCGTTATTTCCATATTATGAGACAACTTGAACACCCCTATGCGTATGTTGGATAGTTGGGCTCAGTTGCAGTAACGAGCCTCGTGGCGCTGTCTTCATCTATAAAAGTTAGCTGAAACTGAATGCAAACAATAAAGTAGCTAAGCATGCCAAACAAGAACTGAAAAATATAGAATTGAATAAATATTACGTATATCGTGATTGCGAAGCACGCTTACTTTGCCCAGCATTTCATTGTTAATTATCAAAAAACCTCCAACACTTAACTGTGCCGTTTCCTGCGCAAGCTGCACGGATATTCTCAGTAAAGCATTATTCATGTGCTTATTCTGACGATTCACGGTTACTCCATGAAATAGCGATCGAAATTGGCGCTGCAGCCTAGCGCAGCGTGTACAGATCCAACAGGGTATGCCAATCTGCAACAGCTTGCCAAGCTCTTCAGTTAGAGCATCTGCAAATGATAACTTGATCTTTGAGTGAAATGGGGCTGGAAGTCGTACCTACATAGGAGTAATCTACCATATACTCGCTTTTGAATTATATTGACAAACATCCAATATAGTATAACTGCAGTGTCCACAAAGTTTTTCATAATAATAACGATGAGACTCCGTAAAAAGTTGTGCTCAATATCGCGTTGGTTTTTCCACAGCAGTAGATGTATTTGCTGCAGACCAGCAAGGCATTCCGCAGACAAACAATAATCGGAACATAGATCCAGACGAAGTCTTTCCATTCCCAAAAGGATTTCGTTGGCCGCGTCGTTAAGCTCTTGGAAGAAGGCCAAAACCAGCACAGTATGCAAAGTAAACTCTCCACAGCGCAGTGCAAACAGAGTCTCCGAGTAGAGATTACAGAGAAGAAAGAAATTGTTGGTAGCTATCAAGCTGTATATTGTAACTGCTGCCAGCGCCGCGATTCGAATAAAATTAAATCTATAGATGACATTGCAGTAGCCTTCTATTCTAACGAGATTCACTTTACGTCCCAATCGGACACACAGTATGTCATGGATTTCTTGGAACTGCTGCTCAATCATCTTGCTATGATTGCTCCAGAGCAGTTCCATGGCGACCACACAGTGTCCGACAAGTAATTCCAAAATGCCAACCAGGTAAACGATTCGCGACTTATTATCGAGAAAAACAATATTCTGATCAATCAAATATCGCCAACGAAAGATAAACCCGATATAGACCAGCAGAGCAATATTGTAAAGAAGCTTCAGATAGAGATGAGAACGTGGTGGCAGAATTAACAGGCAGTGCATCGAGCCACGCATAAGCCGCAACGATGCGACGTCTAATTCGCCCGGCACATGCCACATGACTAAGGCGTTCCACGGTTCCACGGTGACAAGGACTCGGCACATATTAAATTTACAATTAATTAACTTACTATCTTGTGTTTACAAAATAAGTATACCTCTGTTTCTTTATTTATTTAGTTCAATACGTACTGATTCAATTCTATTAGTAGCTATGATAGCCAATAGATAATACAATATAATAAGATTGGCAAAATGGGTAACCTCTACAAATAATCACGATATACTAAATTAAAGTGATTGCACTATATATAACATTTGTAATTTTGGATTTTCATTTTCATTTCTAAAATTACCCTCAGGGGTAAAATTGATTGTGGCATGATATGATTTTACATAAATAGTACCTTGAATCGGAAAAGATACGCCGGAAAAGCGGACTAAATGTATTATATAGTTTAGTTCTTTTTTCGACTTAAAATAATTAGCCAATGCAAATTCTAGGGTATTTTATTGATTAAATAAATGGCCGTCTGCCTATCCGTCTGTCTTTCTGTATGTATGAAAGAATCTCAAAGACTACAAGATCTGGAGAACTAAATCGATAACGGAACGGATCTCGTTTGCGTGGCATCGATAAGATTCAATATCGTGAATTAGGCTTTTTAGGCATGTCTCGAAGCGTACAATGGACCCCAAATTAAGTATGTAGACTCTTATATAGTATACGTACACATATCCAGAATATTTCACTTTTTGGATACCTCCACCCATTCCCAGAAAAATTTTACAAAAACGTAATTATATAAAAAGATGTCGCTAAACTCGATTTTGCCGTTTTGATTTGATTTTTCAGAGTTTCGATGAATCGACTTCGGACTTTTGGACATTTATAATACATGTAAATGCCGCTAGACATTATCCTGACAAAATTGCCAAAAGATGAAATTTTTTATAATAAGTCTATTTCTATACATTTATTTACATTTTTAATAATTTTCTTATGTAAATCAAACACGCTTATGTATTCACTCAACTTTTGGAAACGAGACAACCAAATTGATCAGTGAGGAAATCCTTATCCGATGTAAAATATCCATATTCGTTTCGGACTTACATTATTATTTTATTGAACACATTTTTGGAGGTTGGTCCTGAACTCCGATATATATGCACATTTAAATGATATATATGCACATTATGCCTTGAATCGGACAATAAACCCCAAAGATAATCACAAACGCAGCCTGCTCAAATGTTATTTACGTCAGCTCAACGCTGAGTGCGAGGTATCTCCTACTCGGGCACTTTGGACTATAGCACACTTGTCTTTTTTTGCCTTTCCAACAAATATGTTGTTTGGAGTAATATATAAAATTAGAGACTACAAATTGTGAAGTGATACATTGCCTTTCATCTGCGCTGGCTGGACGAACTGATAAGAGTGTGTTGTAATTGCTTTAAATGCCATTTGGCCCATTCAAATTACCATCAAAGTGACGCCAACAACATGGAATCAGCCCATGAGAGGAATTATTTGTTAATTTTATTACACACACACACGCACACACTCACGCACACACTCACTCACACTGTAGCACACAGGAAAACAACCACAAAGAGCGACGAAAATTGCTTATCAAAAACATGGAAGCTGGTTGGGGTCGGAGCCGGGGTGACTGTGAAGCACAAACACACAGACGTTGTACATAAATTTGCATGCCTTTATTGCACCTCAAAGAGAGAGGCAAATATACACGCACACACACACAGACATGGACACACACTCACATACACACACACATACGATGCTGGCTTTATGCAACCACTGAGGCACTTTGTTTGCACACTGGTAAAACACCTATAGAGACGATGGTGATCCACGCCTCCAGTTATTTGAGGTAATGACTTAATTGCCACGCTGCTTTTGCTACTGCCAAGCCCTTTACTTTTGCCACCCATCGAGAGCAACCCCCTTAGGTAAGACGCCCGCGTTCTATCGCGGATGCCTGTCTGCAATTGAGCTTCATAATTTTTGCAGGTGTCGAGAACGCTTTGTCTTTGATTGCGCGTCTGGTGCGTCTCTAATCTCTGCCAGCCACATCGTAATCATCAGGAGCAGCAGTGCCAGCAACAGCAGCACCAGCAGCAGCAGCAGCAGCAGCAGCAGCATTATCCTTTGTGCTAATACTGGGCCACTTAAAGTACTGTAAGCAGCTGCCAGGCGCGGCTCGGATGTCGGAGGTTTGGGCCAGGTTGCGGGCCTTGGTTAAATTGAAGCAATTGTGTGGCGTTGATTTGTATAATTTTGTAATTTGTATACCAAAACGTAGCCACACATGTGTGTTTGCATTAGCTGGAGTTAGCTGGAGCAATTTTACTTTCCCTATGCCAAGTATACGTATGTATATGTGTATGTATAAATAAATTAAGGTGCAATTGCGTATATATATATATATATATATATATATATATATATATTTGTATACGCATATTGCGTATGCCATGCATGGGGAGGTAAGAAAAACTGCAATCCTTAAAAAGAATTATCAAAAAATACAATTACTAAAATGATTATTTATTATTTTTTTTATATGTACAAAATAAAAGTTAATAATAAGTTGCCTTTAGCTGGTTGCCGATTTAATAACTATTTACTTGTTACATGCTTATTCGAAAGTGAGCACTTTACGTTTAGCCTAAATTCTTTTCATCTTTACTTATAAAATTTTCATTTTGAATTTTAAACTTTCATTCATAAACCTTCTCAGGTTTCATATCAAGGTACTATTGCTTCGTCATTCGCAAATCTGATATAAGAAAATTATTTGAATAGGAGACTATATTTTAATAAGTATAATATTTATTATAAAATTCGGTGTACTGTTAATTTAAATAAAATATTTTAAGCGTTTTATCCAATCTTAACTTTATATAAAATATTTTGAGAATGTTTTCAATCATGTTTATTCCCTTCTAATGAACTGATGGTCATTAATGACTATATTTGGTAAATTTTTACCCAATATTACATATAACAGTAAACATTCTTGAATATTAACATTGTCGAAATTATGTTAATTCAAAAATTAAGTAAATTTTAGCATTATAAATGGCTTTAAATTTAAATAAATATTTTTGATATAAGTACAAACGTTTGAATTGAAGACCTAATCAAAGTTAGCTTTTATTTTTTTAACTCGAAATTTTCATAGCAGCCCTCGCAAAGCTGCCCGAGCTCGTCCCCCACTCTTCGTGCCGCAAAGGAAACAATTTTTCCAAATGTAATTATCGGCATATTTGGCACAAGTATTCTATATACTCTTGCTCTTACTCATACTTATGCGCATACTATGCATGTATTTATGTAACCTGCTTTACACTTGTAAACAGCCTGCACGTGCCTACAGAAATGCCAACATGCTGACTTGAGGTCCCGCTTTGACTTTGAGGTTCAAAGGGAGAAGCGCCTCCAACTGGCTTTTGTGGCTTCGCCCCGCATGGCCAACTCGGCTGCCGGCTAAATGAAAGGCGCAGATCTTTGGCGCAGCTGTTTATGATGACACAAGCCTGCGTTCATACACACACACACACATGAGTATACTCTGTGTAAGTCATTAGATCATATCTGATTTTAATTTGACGCAATTTACCTTTTTGCACCTGTTGACCTGTGTAACTCCAAGGCGCCAGCCCCCAGCCTCCGGTTTGTATTACAAATATGCTAATGCGTAATGCGTAAATGTAAATATGGTAATTTTGGTGAAAATTGATTTTGCAATTTAATTGAAAACTCCAGAGCTTTTTGTTGTCACGCGCATATCGTTGTCGCATTTATGGTTGTTGTAACCATTATTGTTGCTGCTGTTGTTGTTGTTGTTGTTGTTGCGATGATTGTTCAAGCAGCTGCCACAAATTGCATAAATACTTGAACACTTCCACTTCCATCTTTCGCACATCGTTTGCGATTTTTTTGGAGATTGTTTTTAATGACATTAAAATTGCCAAAATTACAACGGCAACACACACAAGCACCCGGGCACACACACACACACACACACACACACACACACACACACACAAGCCCGCACATTCACATAGCTATGCTCGAAATCAATAATCACAGAGTTCAATTGGAGTCGTTGGCAGATCCAAAACCAGTCTAAAAGCCATTGGCAGCGGCTGACAAATGCGCCTGAAATATGGGCCCAGTCTGGCTCGATAAATTTTATGTGTTGCTGTGTGTGTTGACTTGCAAAAATGCCAGGGGGCGTGGCCCACATGTGATATATGTGTGGCATTTGGAGAGCAATGCAAACATGGCACCTTCTAGTAAAATAAAAATTAATTGCATTTTTTCAAGCACATAATTATGACGAGGAATGTGAGGAAAGCGACATGAAAAACGAGTCCAAAGTCACGACGGTTCACATCAGGACAGACAATTGCAAAAAGTCAGGTGATGACAATGATAGCACACACAGTCCGACACCCACACACACACACACACACACACACACACACACACACACACACAGAGACAGACATATACTCATAGATGTGCAGCATTTGTAACAAACTTCGATAACATCATTTATCTTCACTGGCCACAGGCAGCCAACGGCGAGGAGTTGCCCAAGTCAAAGACACACAACGTCGAGACTTTTGGGTGGAAGTGTTCGAGACTTGGCTAGAAATATTCGCTCTATAGCTATTTATTGCCAATTTCGCTGCTTAGCAATATTTCAATGCATAACGCTATTTTTCACATTAATTGGCAAGGTTAAGCGAAGGGCTAACTGCGCAAGTTTGGCATGTGAAAAGTTGTCACTCGAGCGAAATCAACTTTAATTCACTTGATATTCGAGAAGGCGCTTTATTATCTCTGCTGGCTCTCTTGCCAAGGTCAGTAAAACAATAAAAATAAGACCATTTTTATATTGGGCCATATAGACGGCAACAACATCGGGCTCGATGCGAGGCATTATAGCGGCTTTGGGTTTAACTGCGTCTTGTTTTTCTTTCTCTTGGCTGACTGACGCCGCAATTAGGCTAGTCTAATGTGGCGCAAATACAAACACCCGGACGAAGGCCAGCGGCTTTAA